GCTAGTTCACATCACAATTCGCCACTCGATGTCTCGATTGTCCTTCCAGTAAGCCCAACCCCGATATAGCGAAGTTTTCTATCTGAACCACTGCTTATCCGTTTATCTGAAGGGAGTAGTGGGCAGGAAGACGGATAAGAAGGCACTAGGGTTTTCGTTTTAGGCGCGTTCAGTCGGCTGCGAACTTTTCCAGGGAACACTGTAGATCAGATCAATTTCAGAAGGACCAACAAAGCAAGATCGCCAGCAAACAGCAACCTTCTCATCACCAGGGCTGCGCCTGACGATCCTACTCAGTTACGACACAGGCAAGGGAGAGGTCAGAACTCAAAGTAAGAAGAGACCAGTGTCTAAAGATCTCAAGATATCGCTATTTATTCTGACGCAAAAAAGTTCTATATACATAGTGACCGGATGACTCGCAGCAAATGACATTTAATCTCATCTTTGCGGACATGGTTGCGCGAGATCCGATCATAGGCTTTCTCTATGTACACAGAGCATTATTAAACCGAATGAGGAAACTCCCACTATTTCTCAAAATCTGGTCAGAGGTGCGTTGGCCAGACTTGAAGCAATATTGCTTTTCCGGATCTTAGAATCAGTTGCTCCACGACACCCCGTTTCTAAGAAATTGCATCGATCCTTCCCCGGTAACTCAACAAAGTAATGCCCTGATAGTTGGATCACCAATATGGTTTCCTTTCTTGAATCAAGATACTGCCTCACCCGTTCTTCCTCATAGCCATTGCAGTTTGACAGACACTGTTAGTCACAACATGCCTTGTTCACTTAAAGCTTCATCTATTTAAGGGCAGTTTTCATCGATTTCAGCAGTCTTGCCACTTTTCAAGCTTTTCGAAGCTTCTGTAATTTTATTTACTGAAACACTAATATCCATTGCTTATACTCTTCAATCGAGTCCTCCCACGGTTGCTCAGTATTAAGCAATTCCTCAACAGTAACATTTCCATGAATGAAGTATATCCTTATTTTTGATAAGAGGCTCGTACATACTTGTCCCTCAAAAGTCTTAGACTGTGAAGTATTTGTCAAAAAAGCGAATTTCCAACGTAATAGTAAAAGAAACGTGACATTGTAAACAACGAAAAAAAACTTTTGCTTGTTTATATTTACACAGGACGAAACTTGTTTTAATGAGATCAAGATTCAACTGGATGTTTAGACCTTCATGAGGTAAGTAATGAAACTCATCGATTCTTTTACCGTTATAGGTAAACAGTGAATTTCGAAGTTCATTGTTTTGTGTTTTAATACCATTGTAACAATTGTGGCCATTGAGAGCTCTTTAGTGATATATAGCATGGCAAAAAGACTCGAAAGTAGCAGCGATACAGACATCTGTCAATGATACATTCCAAATTCACTACCGTGGCATTGTGTGCTCTCTTAATGGCTTTGCTCGATCATTGCAATGGAATAAAAAAATACTGAAGACTGATCGAAATTAGCAATTTCTGCATGCTTCAACGAGTTCAACGAAATAAATGTTGTTTACAAGGCTACAAATAAATCATATACATGGTTATAAGCTTCCTAAGTTTAGCATTAATAGAGTTAATGAGGATAATGGTAAATTAATGAAACAAGCAGATCGAAGCTAAAAGTTCTCTGTTTCAGATTAATAGAATAAATGAACCATGACTAAGTTTTGTTGATCTTCAGATTCTGTGCAAATTCGGCCGAAATCACTGTCTATATATGATAACTGTGCGAATGAAGTTCATTCCTGATTGACAGAAAATCGCACGTCTCCTGCTTAGGTTTAATTTAACACGACTTTACTGTACAAAACAAACTGCCACGAACGACTTTTCCCTGTATCACTATCAAAGACAACCACATTGTTTGACGATAACATTTTCTAAGGTTTGAGTAACTTGTTCATTGGGGCCTTGCATCACCGAGATGGTCAGTGGAGAAAATTTGACGGGGCTACAGCAAGGACTAAGTGCAGCTGTCTTTGCGTCCCTGTACCAATTCATTATCTCAGCGTAGTAGGCGTAGCCCTCGGTTTTGCTACTCGCGAAGCCTCCGAAGTGACTGCACCTGCCGATGCAGTAATACGAGTCAAACGAACGTGGTGCATAGGCCCAGTCCCCCCATCCGAAGTCGTCGAAGGTGATGCGCAGGCGTCGACGACAGCACGGCATCAAACTGTCGTAGATGCCGGTGTTCATTGATTTCAGGAACTGCTCGTCCCATTGGGTGTCGCAGTCGGTGGCGATGTTTCCGGCCATCATGGTCATGTTCGGCAGTGCTTGTCGCTTGTCCCTCGATGACAGAGAGTTCGTTTCCGTCAGGGACAGTTTCAGCACTGGCGAAGTCTGGAGGTTCTTGCGACAGTGACGACTTTGAGGTCGGTTGCAATTTGCGTCCCGCACCAACAGCGTGATGAACGCCTCAATGTTCCTGCCCGAAAACCACCTCTTGGCAAGATGCTGAGTAGCTTTGACTTGCACTCTGATTTCCTGTCCATTCGAAGATACAACACATTCAGGGTTTCCTCTTGAACAGTTGCCGTAGTACGTGGCGTTGTCCACGTAGAGCACGTAAGCAGACGGCTTTGTGGAAGTTTCAATCGTAGCTTCCGTCAGATGAATTCCGTACCTCTTGGCCAGACTGCTCATGTTGAACGAATAGTGCAACACCTGCAGTCGAGAGGAATTGGCATCCTCACCATCTTTGACCATTGTGCGCCAGTTGTAGTTCGGAGCTGAACCTAAACAAAATAATAACATGGACTGAAATGACGAACGCTATCGTTGGTAACGTTAATGCCAAAATATTCATTAACATATATCTCTATTATTTTGAGTGGGTTTGGCGTAGCAAATTCTGAACGTACCTGCTGCTGCAGAGATATGGAATTTCTATAAACCCAGCTTTTGTCTACATTCAGAGGATGGAATGGCACATCAGAACAAGACATATTTTTCCTACCTGTGAACGCTAGTCAAAAATCAAAAAACAATATAGCACCGTAATTGCGATATGACAGAGCTCCTCCCCTCTTTAAGAGAGTCTCAATTCGAAAAGGATGCTCCGCTTAAAAATTTGGATGAACAGACAGGTCACAAGCCGTATTCTTTTCTGTAGAAAGCAAGATATAAGTAGTTAAAGCAGTTCATTTTTAGAACAGTAATGAACTTTAGTAATGGACATTTTACCAGATTCAACGCTCTTCAAAAAATACTGATATCGTTTCTTGCTTCAGTGAACAGTTGATGAGCGTTTCATTCGATATGACTTGAAACGTTCTCGACGTTACAAGAGTACGAACAGTAAACTGCGATTTCCGGTCAGAGAATTGGCAATATTATGAGCAATTTTGAATGACTTTCATCGGTGCTGATCACCATGACAAAAATGTTAATTCGTCACTGTGCATGGGATGCAATATTTGGAGTATTATTTAGGTTTATATCATGGGGTAGAACATATAACGGAAAAATTTCATCATCTTTTTGCTGGATCACCATACATGTTTCTTTAGATGCATTCATATGGAGTTATAAATGACTTCTAGACTTCTTGCATAAACAGTGTAGTACATTTTGTAAAATAAAATTTACGGCTTGCAACTTGTGCGAAATTCCGCCTGTAAGGTTTACTCATAGCAAAGTACATACCTCACACGTTCTCGCTGGACCACGTTGGGACAGGATCGTGATATTAAGCGCCATATGTGCAGTATACAATATTACATGTATTTACATAAATGTTTACTTTTTTTACTCCTTGAGGGTGTTAACTCTCCTGATTACATGGTTGGCAAAACGAGAAACATCAAAAAAGTTTTATTTACAAGAATTCAAACGATTCTACCGAATTTACATCGATCATCATCATTTTTTGATTATTAAAATTCCTGTAATTAGATCTGTTTTCTTGTTTCTCGTATTACCACTCAAAAAAACCCATGATTTTCAAGTCATCTGCGGCACGGATTTGGTATCAGAATAGGAACTAAATTCTATCCCATTTTCCGTCCTACTCGTTTTTCTACCTGCATTGTTTATTTGTGCCTTCTAGCTTCCTCACTCGTTCACTTGCATAAACCATGTTCCACGTTCTTACTTATTCACTTCCTTAGCTCCTTGTTTAATCTTTATGAATCCAGTCATTCAATCAGTTTCGATCACCGTCTATCCTTTTGGGACTTGGAGGCAGACGCGTCAGACAGTGACTTCAGCGTTCTTCACCATGTGTCACCTTTTGAGCTTCGGCACAAGGTACCTCAGAGTAGAATCTGTCAAAGCGTTTGCCTCAGATGATTCTTGGCCATCCTTGGGGTCAGTTGAGTAAGTAATAGTTGCCTGTTTGGACTTCTTTTCTGGAAGCATTCAGAAGAAGTGCCAAAACCAGTTGTGATATCGTATATCGTATTCATCAACTTACTTGTATACCTGCTTGATTAATTGCCCAATTACAAATTTGATTGTTTACACACATTCGTACTTATTTACTCCAATGTTTACTAAAATGTAAAGTGCAGGGCGTTGCAACCGCTTTTTCATTACTTCACTTCAGTCAATTTGTTTCATTTTGACTTATGTTCGTTACTGATTGCGTCAGAGCTGGACATTTTGATTGATGCTTTGAATGTGCGTGCTCTTGCAACATAATCGACATTCTT